GAGAAAAAAAAATTATGAAATATAAAAAAAAAATGACATGAAAAAAAGAACGTGGAAGGAGAATTTTAGATATCTCAGTTTTTTTTTTCCTTTTTAATGAAACCAATAAGGTATGAGAAAAGAAAAAAAAAATTTTAATATGATATTAAAATCGGTATCGAACGTATTTGTAAAAGTGGCAGAAGAATAAAAAATTATTTTACAAAACGTGGTAGAAACGTGGCGCTTTTTTTTAAACCGTAATTTAAAAATGGTTTCCGGAAATATTTATAAAAAAATTTTTTTTATTTTTATTTTTATTTTCAGTTCCACCCGATAAAGTATTCATTCTGAATGATAAATCGGAAATGATAACGCGTCCGATGATCGGACCGTATTTCGAAGGTGACACGATTAAAATGACGTGCGTGACAACAGGTGGAAATCCATTACCAAAAGTCACGTGGTGGTTAGAAAACACGATCGTCGATGATACGTATGAAACAATATCGGAAAATCGTGTCGCTAACGAACTCGTCATTGATAAGATAACTAGAGAACATTCTGGAAATGTTTACACGTGTCGAAGCGTCAACAACAACGTTTTACCACCACCCACGGCTGACGTCAAAATAGACATGTACTGTAAGTGTTTTTTTTTTCTTTTTAATTTTTTTTAAAAACGAAATCCGCCATTTTGTTTTTTTTTTTTTTTTAAGTTAAATAAGATTATTATTATTATTATTTTCGTCGTCGTTTTGATGATGCGGAATCGAAACTTCTCCCGATTAATTTAAAAAAAAAAAAAAAAATTTTTTTTTTTTTTATTTAAAAACGTTCGAGATGTTTAAAAAAATTCGATTCGACCGGAAATGAATCCGATATAAATTTTCACGGAAAATGTGTAAGACAAATTTTTTTTTTTTCTAAAACGGTCGTGAGCGGAATTCCTAATTTTTTCTTAAAATCACTTATTAAAATGAGGGAAATGCAGAGAAAAAGAGAGAGAGAGAGAAGGAGACAGAGGTGAAAATTCAAACGAAAAGAAAAAGGAGAGAGAAAAAAGAGATAAAGGTTTAAATAAAGAAGGAAATAGAGAGAAAATTGAGGTTTATTTTAAAAGAGAGAGAGAGAGAAAAATGGAGGTTTACTTAAAGAGAGAGAAAGAGGGAGACAAAAATGAAGGTTTAGATAAGAAGAATGAGAAAGAAAGAGTTAAAATAAAAATTCAGATGATGAGAAAAAGAGAGTGGTATAGAGAGAAAGAGAGAAATATGAAGTTTAGGTTCAAATAAAGAGAGAGAGAGAGAGAAAGAAAGATGAAGTTTAGGTTCAAATAAAGAGAGAGAGAGAGAAAGAAAGATGAAAATTTAGATAAAGAGAGAGAAAAAGAGAAATAATGATGAAGGTTAGGTTCAGATAACTAGAGAGAGAGTGAGAGCAAAAGATGAAGGTTTAGATAAAGAGAGAGTGAGAGAGAAAGAAAGGTTAAACTTTTCCGAAAAAAATAAAGGCATTTCTTTTTAAATATGATAAACGACGCCATTTTAAAATGCTTATTAAAAAAAAAAAAAGAAACTCATCATCATTTACCAAAAAAAAAAAAAAAAATATTTTTCATTTTTTCTTTTTTTTTTTTTTTGCAAACTAGAAAAAAAAAAATTCATTTTCCCATTTTTCCACCACCTCCTTCATTTTAAACGTTTTCCCTTCACTGGAAAATTCCAGACAAAAAATTCATCAACAACGTTCGGACGATGACTATCGACGTCACTAGTTTAAAAACGAACGTAAAAACGTTTTTTTTTTTTTTTTTTTTATTTTAAATAAAATAAAATGGAGGACAAAGTAAAATTACATGTCTTAAGTCAGGACACTTGTTGTGGGAGAGTTTAAAAAAAAAAAAAGTAATAAATATATATTTTCTTTCTCTCTCTCTCTATTCGAACGTTTTCATTTCGCACACGCACACACGCACACACACCCAAACATATATTTTCTTTTTTGTAACGGATATTTATTACTTCGTCGTCGTCGTTGTTCATAGATAATGTATATATATATATATATGCACTAAAGTAATTTATTTAATTTTCTATTTTTCGGACTTTAAAAAATGTTTTTTTTTTTTACCATTCGCCATTTTCAAAATTTTTATAAATAATAATGGAAAAAGAAATGAATGAATGGTTGGAAAAAAAAGGGGAGAATAGAAAGAAAACATTGCCAAATTATTTCAAGTTGAAATTTTCTTTTTTTTATAAAAATTTTTAGGGCGTTTCTAATTTAAAATGATTACACGGAATTACATAACCTTTTTATCATCATCTTTTCTCTCTCTCTCTCTCATTGAATTTAAAGTCAGCAAAAAACCCCCCCCCAAACGTGTAAGTGTTAATTAATCGTTAGGTTAAAAAGTTCAATCGAAAAGTTAAAAAAAAAATTTTTTTTTATAATTAATTATTTTTGGCGCCTTTTTTTCTTTCTTTTCTTTTTTCTTTTTTTTTTTTTAATAACGAGTTTAATTTTCTTTTTTAAAAAAAAAAAAAATCCACCTGACATTATTATTTTTTTATTATTTATTTGAAAAAATTAATGAAAGGAATTGAAAAAAAAAAAAAAAAAAAATCAAATTATGGCCGATTATTATTATTAGTTAGTTTTAAACTTTTTTAAATAAATTTGATTGGTTAATTCGTATGTAAACAATTCGATGTGCTGCCACCTATCGTAATTAATTTAAATTAAAAAATAGGAAATTAAACGGTTTCTGAACGCACTTGAGAAAAAAATTTTCTTTAAAACGTTTATTTAATTATTTCCGGTTTGATTTTTTTTTTTTTTTGAATTTATTTTTATTTTTGGCGGGAAAATTAATTAATTAAGAATTAAATCATAAATAATGATAATAATAATTAAGTAATGAATGATAATAATACGTCCGCGGGTGGTTTTTTTTTTTATTCTACGTCAAAAATTTTCCTAATTGTAAAAAAAAAAAACAAAATGGCGTCCGTACGTTTATATATACGATTCGACTCGTGGTTAAAAATATTTAAATATATGTAAAATGTCGTGGAATCAGAAGGGCGAGGGTGGGGGGGGGAAATATATAAAAAAAATTTTTTTTTTTTTTTTTTCAATTACCGTTACGTTATTTTTTTATATTCTATCTCTCTTTCTCTTTCACTATATCATTTTTCTTTGTTTTTTTTTTTTTTTTTTTTTTATCAGTTATTTTTTCCCCCCCTTTCCCCCCCTTTATTTTATGTCGTTGATTTCCTTTTATTTTGCCGCATATTTTTCATTTCTTTTATCTTTTTATTATTTTTTATTTGTTTGTGTGTGTGTGTGTGTGTGCGTGTGTGTGTGTGTCAAAATTTAAGGTTATTTGTTTTTTCTCTTTTTTTTTTTTTTGGAAAAAATAAAAAGTCAATTTTTATATTTGTTTTCATTTTTTTTTTTTGTCGAGACCATTCATACGAATTTATACATAAAAAAAAACTAAAGAAAACGTTTTTAAAAAATAAATAATAATAATAATAATAATAATAAATAAAAAAAAAGAGAGAGAAAAGAGAGAAGAGAGGGAAATTGTATGATTGTGACGTCATAGTCGTAATTTTTTTTCATTTGTTTTCCAATCTGCAAACCTAATAATTATTTATAAAATTTTTTTTTTTTTAAATTATGTCGCAATTTCGTGAATGTACGTATTTATGCGTTTAGAGTTAATAATATATATGTTTTGGGGGGTCAGTTATTTATATGTACAACCCCCCCCCATATTTGTTTATTTATTGCTTTTAATAAAATGTATCGGTGAAGGTTGGGAAAGAGTTATGAAGAATGGTTTTTATTTTTTATTTTTAAAACGGAAACATAATATTTTACTTTTTTTTTTCGTTTTTAAAATGTAACGGGGGTTGAATGAGGAAAAAGAGTGAAAAAGTGAGAGAAAAAAAAAAGAGACCAAAGAAAAGAGAGAGAGAGAGACAAGAAGAAAGTGAGAAACGAACACTGAGAGGGAAAAAAAACTATAAAGAAATAGAGAAAGATGAACAAAGACAATGTTACAGAAACTGGGAGGGGGAGAGAGAGAGAGACAAAGAGAAATAGAGTAAGAGACACGGAAAGAGGGAGAGAGATCGGAAAAAAAAACAGAAAAAGAAAATGAGAGGTAAAAGAGAAATGAAAAAGGTAAAGAAAGAAAGAAATTGTAACAGAAAAATACAGAAAATGAGGAAGAGAGAGAGAGAGAGAGACAGACACGAAGTATGATAGAGAGAAAGAGCGACAGAGAGAGAGAGGGGAGATAAAGAGAAAGGAAGACAGAGATTCGGGTGAAAGAAAGAAATATCGGAAAAAAACAGCAAAAGAAAATGATAGAGAAAAGGGAAGTAAAAAAAAAAAAAAAAAAGAGAGAAATAGAGACAGAATGATATAAAAAATTAGAGAGACTGAGAGAGAGATAATTTATAGAGATAAAAAGGTCAAAAGTAAAAACAAAAAATAAAATTTTGAAAAACAATAACAATAATAATAATAATAATAATAATAATAATAATATTAATAATAATAATAATAGAAGGGGAGAGAAAGAAAAAAACTCAAACTGGTTTTTAAATTTTTCCAAAAATTTCGAGAAAAAATTAAAAATTTTTTTTTTTAATGGGAAAACACGGATTTAAATTACTCCCATTTAAATATGTAATTTTATTTATTATTTGGTTACGGGATGCATCGTTTCCTGCATCGTTTTTTTTTTTTTTTTTTTTTGAAAATTACACCGGAAATTCGAATCCGAAATAAAATTTACAAATCGCGTGGGATTCATTTTTGTTTTGTTTTTTTTTTTTAATCCACGTATTACGACTTAATCAAATGTAAATTTTTTTTTTTTTTAAATTTCCTTTTCATATAACTGATATTATATAACGAACGTCAAAAAAAAAGCTTATTATTATCATCATTATCATCATCATTATCATTATTAAATAAGTTGTTACGATTCGAAACGATCGCGTGTGAAAATCACATTTTCTTTATTTAAAAAAAAAGAGAGGGGCGAGGAAGGAAATCCTCCTCCATCTTTTATCCATCTTGAACCATTACAAAAAAAAAAATTTCTCCACTACTCCTATTCTATGTAAAAATAAAAATAAAAATTGTTTTACGATTTTGCGACAAATTGCGATTTTTGTCGACGTTTCGACAAACCGGAAACTATTACGGATTACGATGGTTGTGCAGTAGTAGTTTTAATAATTTATTTTATTTTTAAATTTTTAATCGGGAAATTCGCCATTTTTTTTTATTTTGTTTTCCCGATGGAGCGGTGGGTGAAGATTTGGGGTAACGCTGGAAAATATGACGTCATATTAAAATATGGCGTACGAAGGAAAAAAAAACAGCGTAATTTTCGAATTCAAACAAACAAATAAAAATAAAAATTATCATCGGGTTGTAAAATTCGTCGCTCCTTTCGGAAAGTTTATATTATCTTATCAGGCAGGTATGAGGTCATCGAACCTAATTTTACCATTTTGATGACGTCATAATATGACGTTTTCGTACCATACCGATCAAATTTCGCCAATATGTCGTCGTAATCTTCCCGCTTAAATAATTTGAATGTTTAATAT